CTGTTTCATACACTTTGTTTCTCCACTTTTCAAAGTGAATGTAAAATGAATTATATAGTCCAAAAGTGGACATACGCTGGTAAGCAACGGCAACAAACAAATCCATTAAGATTAAACAAACGTTATATTTTGACTTTCAAAATAGTAATTTTACATCATGGATCATGTAAAATTCCAATCTTAATACGATTTGTGTGATGCTTCTAACTATTCAGAAAATTAGTTCTAAGATACGTGCTTTGCGCGTGTACCTCAGTTTAATAAGTATAAACGATGGTAGGCTAAAAACATTAATTTTTGGCTTTACTTCACCTATTATTGACTGCTCTTTACTTGTGTTTGAATTAAAAGGTGAAGAATTTATACTCATCACGTGATTTCTAACATGTTAGTTATGATTCCGAGTTCAGATATATTATTTGGAGCTAAATTGGACAAAATAGAACTTTAAAGTCAGAGTAGAAGTTCAAGAATTAAGTTGGAATTGAGTACAATGGTTGAAGACGAGATATGCTGAGAAAAAATGACAAAGAAAATGTCAAAGACAAGTTGTGAGCTTAAACGTTAGAAGAAAAATGTGAAAAGTTCCAAGATTACGCAAAATATAGCAAAGGGAAGTTTTTGATATATTATTGAATACAGTGTTTTTAGAAGTGAAATGACGACAAGTAGTGAAGATTCAAGCAATAGATATTGTGATTTAGAAGTAGGAGCAATAGTTTCTCTCCAAAAACATATGATTCAAATTTAATAGAGGATATCAATCTACGAGGAGTTTTTATCATAATTCTTATGGAAAAATATAGAATTTTGAGTCTAGTTTCCAAATGTTTAAATGGCTCGTTGTTTCGACTCTCCTACACAAAGTTATGATCTTTTACTGGATACTGTCAAAGATGCGCGCCCAGGTACACGCCCATGCTCCCAGGTGCGCAACAATGCACGTCTACTTGCGGGAAACTCAAGTCAAGGTTATTTTTGTAATTTTGGGTGTTCCCCTAAAATATATAAGCCTAAGCTCGTCCCAAAGTAGGATCTTGGAGTTTTTGAGCAGCTTTTGGAGAGAAGAAGATAAGGAAACAATGAAGATTTGGAACACTTTATCTGAATTATTCAATACGAAAGTTTGTTAGAGTTCGAGGGTTGTAATATCTTCTTGCTTTCTTAATACTCTTTTGACGAACGTCTCCTCCATTATGGAGCAGTCTCTTTTAAGGTTTTTTGACAAGTATAGTGTCGTGATTGTTATTCAAGGATTTAGCTCTTATTGTTGTTTGAATTCGTTGAAAGAGTTTCGAATCGAATTGCGAAGTTATTTGCTATTTTACTTTAATCAAAAGAGAAGTATTGTTGCAAATATCATTGTGTTATCTTGTTTGGATGAATTTAACGACTCTTGTAGGTAATAGAAAGAACTTGTGGATTTATCAATTAACCTAATCTAGAGAAATAATCGAGAGATGATCTTTGTTAGACCAATCATTCAACGCATTCTTGCATATATTCGTAGCGCTATTCATTTGGTTAATTAGTGGAACTCTCCTTCATTTGAAAGAAGAATTTGAATCCTAAGGATAATCTGATCAGTTGTTGAAATCGAAAGAGTCAACATTACTTAAGGATTGAACTTGCAACATAGTTAGATCCTGAATAATAGTTGCGCACATGTCTTGTCAGAGCCCTTATTTCTCTCATTGATATTTATTTATTGTAGCTCAATTCTTCATTCTCTAGGAGTCAATAGTTATTTGATAATGTTAGTTGTTACTTTTAGTTCTGTAACCATCTAAAGCCAGAGGTTTATTCTTCTGAATAACATTAGGCCGGAAATTATTCGAATATTATTTAGATTAATACATGCGAAGACGATTTAATAACTATACTATTTTTGATCAGCAAGCCTCAGTTTTACAGATCGGTTTGCGCTCGTCAATAAGCTTAAAAAATTATATAAAAATTAATAAAATATGTGTTCTTGACGTTCAATTGTTAAATGCCGTTACGAAAGTATTTTTAAAATTTGATGTTGAGTTTTTACAATGATTTCTTGTTAGTCGCACATTCTGTGCATACATTGTAATTTTTATTAAGTAGATGAATCTCATAAAAACTTCTCAATAATTTATTTTTATATAAGACTATTGTTAGAAAAATAGCGCATCTAATAATGATATTAATTTTTGTATGCAACTTGTAATAGGCAACTTAATTCCTAGATGTTTTAGGAAAGGGCATAATCAATTTGCTAAGCTTACATTTTTTTATAGGTCTCTTCGTCCACAAGAATTTATATATTAAATTAAATAAAACAAATAGAAAAATGAATAAGTTTCATAATATTACTTGTAAAATAAAAGAGTTCTTCTATTGTAATAAATAACTATAGCACCCAAGCATACAAAGAACAACATAAACAATATAACTCACAAGTAATTCATCTATCACTTACAAAAGAACTTTAAAAATACTTAATAGCTCCATCGTCTTCAATTGGTTCGTTCAAAACCAACAAAATCGGACTGAGCAAATTTGTGGAGAAAGCAGACAATTTGAATGATATTTGTTGAGAGAGGCTTCCTTCAATTAGCGATTTTTTTAGCTATTCTATATTTAAAATCTTTCCTTATTTTTAAATTCAAAATTTTTAAAATTTTAAATTTACGTATTTAATTAATTAACCATTACGTGTTGTAGTGCTTCCTTTCTAAAACTCTTACCCTTATTTTTTGTTTTTTCAGATCTTTTTAAAATTGAATTGAATTAATTTCAAATTTCTAAATATAAGGAAGATAATAACGAACGATATTTTCGCTAAAGGATTTCGTGTATTTTTAATTTTAATGTTAATATTCATATAATATAAATTACTTATCTATCTTAAATCAAACACTAATCTTAATTCATATTCAACATGATTAATTAGGAAGTAGGAACCAATGAGAGCTAATGGCTTGTTTTTAGTTTCAAAGAGTACGTCTTATTTGTAAACACGTTAACAGCTGAATGCACAGTACACAATTTTTGACTTTAGTAACTCCACGAGAAAATAGTGTCTTTGCTGACTCATCGTACCAATCTAAAATGGATAAACCCTGACGTGTCAAATAAAGATCTCCAAACAAAAAGTTACCACGTGTCCACGACAATTGGTTGTCCAGTATATTCCACATGGAGATGGAGTGCTCAAAGATGGAATATCCTCCATCTATTTAATATCCACCGTTTAAATTTACGGAAAAATCTAAATTTACCTATCTATTTTTTAATATTGTATACATCTAACTTACGTTATATTCTTCGGTCAAATTTATACCTATTATTATATTATCTGGTCAAATTTACTCTTACCATCAACAAACTTTTAAAAACTACCCATCAATCCATCAGGTGACCCATAATCTCTCAATTCATTTTAGTTAAGTCACTTATTCTTCTTTTTGATCTACTATTTTCAGAATAGTTAATAATTACCTGCTTTCTTACTTGGAAAAAAAAAATAAGAGAAAGAAATATTAAAATAATACAGCGATTAGTAAAGAAAGTATTGTAAATTAAATAATTTAAATTAGGTAGCTAGTCTAAATTTCAAAAGTATTTACAATACCATTGCTTTAATGAATTTGTTCCACCAAAGGCATGAAGACTTTGCAAGTATTAGTGATAGAAGTTGAATGTCCTCTAAGATTTTGCATTATCGAATTCAACTTTGTTTTAATAAAATACCTACGCATTGTGCACTCTTAAGTTATTTGACCGAACTCTATACTAACTAGACAATTATAAAATATATTCGAATATACATGTACATACATGATGATCAGCCGTATATAATACATAACAAATAGACCCACATAATTTCTGCGGTGTGTATATGGTTGAAAAATTATAAATTTTTTAAACCAATTTCAAAACTATTATCACAGAAAGAGAAGTGGGTGCAATGATAAGTAAAAATATCTATGAATAATTTGTATAGTTTAGTACCTTTAGCATTCACATTAATAGTAATTTTTGAAAATAGTGGATTAAGAAGAAGAACAAGTGATTTAGATAAAAGGGATTTGAGAGATTTTGGGTTACCTAACGGATTAGGAAGTAATTTTTAAAAGTTTGTTGATGATAAGGATAAATTTTTCCAGATAGTATAATGGTAGGTGTAAATTTGACTGAATAATATAATGGATGTTAAATTTAGACAATATTCAAAAGTAGAGAGATAAATTTGAAACTTTTCCCTTAATATAAGGGTTAAGAAAGAAAGTAGAATATTTCAAACTTGTAATTTTAAATATAATATACTATAGCGAATTTGTTTTAAATTAAACTACTTTTAAATATAAAAGTATGTCATTCGTTTTATACCTGGAAGAGCGACGCAAACAAAGGTATAGAAGTAGCTGAGCAATATTATCATATCCTAGTCGATGACCAGCTCTTAAGAAATTGTCATTTAAAAATTATTATTTGGTGAATTAAAATATATATAACTTAATTATGTTGTGAATAGTATATTAAAAAATATTGTAGGTGATCAATAATACAAAGAAATATTACAAATGAATAGTCCGATTAAAGAAATAATATCGTAATTTTTTTTCGCACCAATATTTATATTAAATAAATAAATGTAAGATAGTCTTTATACATTTATTTTTAGCTGCTAAAATTAAATTACTTGAATTTGTGTAAACATAATTTCTAAAAACCAAACTTAGCATGAATTATGGAGAGTTCTATGCTAAAACATGAATGTGATACTATTATTAATTAATTAACTTAACACAAGAGATTACATTATTAAACGAACGTCACATCATTTACTGGAATTTTAATATCAGGATTAGACTTAAGATGCGGCGACCAAAGAAGCCCCTTAAGAAAACGAGAAAAGCGAAAGAAATCGAACCAAAGAAACGTCGCCGCTTGAAAGGATAGTTGTTGATGTGCTCATTGGACCACACTTGGAACGCCTATAAAAAGAAGGGCCTGTTTGCCACTAAGCAATGCATTAACTTAGGAAACGTAGTCCATTGTGTCTTAGTACGTGGCCATCTCTCCAAAAATCTTGCATAGCCTTCTCTTTCTCTGTTTTATACTATCATCTTTATTATCCAATCATTTTTAAAAACTAGACTAGAGTTATTGTACTAAGTATTAAAGATAACATATAAAGTACTAATAATCATGTGCGGGATCTTGGCTGTTTTGGGTTGTTCTGATGATTCTCAGGCCAAAAGGGTTCGTGTTCTCGAGCTCTCTCGCAGGTAAATTATATTCCCTTCTTTTCTCTATTGTTAATGTTATTGTGTTGCATGCGTTATTAATTCTTTTTATGAGAAAGTAGTTTCCTGAGCGTTTGGAGCTGCTACTGATTGCTTGCATTTTAGAATAAAACTTAAGATGGATTATATATTTAGATATTCTTGACGTGGACCTATATCTTAGATTCACAATTTTCTCGGACCAACTGTTTTAGCATGACTTGTATATGATGTTGATATGAAAAGCTGTGGTTTAGTAATTCATTTCCATGTTACAATTACTAATCTTTCTCCTATCTGTGTTCTTGCCACTGCTAGAGGCAGATCTATAATTCGTAATTAGAGTATTGAACACATTGTACTTTTCAAAATTATAAGTGCGCAATTTAATATTTGTTAAAATTTTGAAGGCTTTTTTAATTACATGTATATCGTGTCTCGTATAGCCTCTCTACCCATGTAAGGTCTGCGTACACATTACCCGCCCCATGCCCTCCCGTGAAATTTTACTGGGGTTTGCTGTTGTTGTTGGTATCGTGTGTCGCATATACTTTGTTCTGTTGAATCAATATATGCGTCATCTGCCACTGTTTGCAAATGCATGGAATGGAAAAGTCATGCCTCATCACTGTCACACAGGATTTTTATTTATTTATTTATTTATTATATATGATTCTTTTTCTTGATGTGAAATCTATTAGTGGGTACTGAATCTGGCTAACTGACTAATGAAACAGGTTGAAGCATCGTGGACCAGATTGGAGTGGGCTGTATCAACATGGGGACTGTTACTTGGCACATCAGCGTCTAGCTATTGTTGATCCTGCTTCCGGTGATCAACCTCTGTTTAACGAAGATAAGACGATTGTTGTTACGGTGGGTGCTTTTAATTTCATGTTTACTCTCATTACTTGCTCAGTTTACTGATGAACATGAAACTAATGACTATCAATCAGCCAATCAACCACGCTTAATTCCATACAAGTAGGGGTCGACTATATGATTCATTATATCCTTTCCTCTATTCCGGTTCCTTTTTATTCAAATAGTTGATGATTAATTTCATGCCAAAAATTTCAGGTAAATGGAGAGATCTACAATCACGAGCAACTTCGCAAGCAAATGCCTGATCATAAGTTCCGGACTGGAAGTGACTGTGATGTCATTGCACACCTAGTGAGTAATCTAGATTACTCATCTTCCAACTTAGGAAACATGTATGTATTCCCCTGATTATTTCATCATCTTTATGTACATTAATCAGTATGAAGAACATGGAGAAGATTTTGTGGACATGCTGGATGGGATCTTCGCTTTTGTGTTACTGGATACTCGAGATAACAGCTTTCTTGTTGCTCGTGATGCCATTGGAATTACTTCCCTTTATATTGGTTGGGGACTTGATGGTAAGATTCCATATTATTTTCTCACTTAGATTTTGTTATTGCAAATGAATATGTTGAATCTTTATATGTAGTAACTGTTGTAATTTGGTTCCTTCTCAGGGTCTGTATGGATATCATCTGAGCTTAAGGGCTTGAATGATGACTGCGAACATTTTGAAGTTTTCCCACCAGGACACTTGTACTCTAGCAAGAATGGCGGCTTTAGGAGGTGGTACAATCCTCTTTGGTTCTCTGAGGCTATTCCTTCCACTCCTTATGATCCCTTAGTTCTCAGGCGCGCCTTTGAAAATGTGAGTTATTATTGTTGTTGTTGAAATGGATCCAACATGTTGGTTCTAAGGCTGGATATCATTGTGCAGGCTGTTATCAAAAGGTTGATGACTGATGTCCCCTTTGGTGTTCTGCTCTCCGGGGGACTCGATTCATCCTTGGTTGCTTCGATTACTGCCCGCTACTTGGCTGGCACAAAGGCTGCCAAGCAGTGGGGAGCACAGCTTCATTCCTTCTGTGTTGGCCTTGAGGTCAGATAATCTTGAGATTTCTGTGATTACAACATTAATAACGACCACACCTCATTCACAAGCTAGTAAGGTCAGCTATATGAATCTGATACCGATTTGCTTGCTTTCAAACGAACAGGGATCACCGGATCTCAAGGCTGCAAGAGAAGTTGCTGACTACTTGGGAACCGTTCACCACGAGTTTCACTTCACCGTTCAGGTATTGATGGAGCAACTCTATTTTGACTTGATCTATCATCCTCTGCGTTCCCTTTTGTTTACCTGATGGCAAATGACATGTGTCGTATTTGCAGGATGGAATTGATGCAATTGAAGATGTTATTTACCATATTGAGACATACGATGTAACGACAATCAGAGCAAGCACTCCTATGTTCCTTATGTCGCGTAAGATTAAGTCACTAGGAGTGAAGATGGTTATATCTGGGGAAGGCTCTGATGAAGTGTTTGGTGGCTACTTGTACTTTCACAAGGCTCCCAACAAAGAAGAGTTCCACAAGGAAACATGTCGCAAGGTATAAAAAAGTGTTTCCAGTTCCTTGTTTAAAACCTTATTTAAATAGGATAAGCAACAACAACAACAACAACCCAGTATAATCCCACTAGTGGGGTCTGAGGAGGGTATTGTGTATGCAGACCTTACCCCTACCCTGGGGTAGAGAGGCTGTTTCAGATAGAAACTCGACTCCCTCCCTCCAAAAACCTTATTTAAATAGGACAAGGAGTTGAGAAAATGTTGATCTTTTTCCTCCATCTCTATGCAGATTAAAGCACTTCACCAATATGACTGTTTAAGAGCAAATAAGTCAACATCTGCATGGGGCTTAGAAGCTAGAGTGCCTTTCCTAGATAAGGAGTTCATCAATGTTGCCATGAGTATTGATCCAGAGTGGAAGTTGGTAAGTAGTTGAACCCCAATTGTTGATCGAATAAACGATCAACTGTCCCTAAAACCTTGTATTCTATCCATTTCAGATTAAACCAGAGCAAAGGAGGATTGAGAAGTGGGCTCTAAGGAGGGCCTTTGATGATGAGGAGCATCCCTATCTCCCAAAGGTGGTACTAAATCGCCCTTTTCAAACTGATTTGCAAGTGATTTCGAATGTTATATTGTTAACCAAACTAACAATTTACTCATTACATTTCCTGCAGCACATCCTATACAGGCAGAAAGAACAATTCAGTGATGGCGTAGGCTATAGTTGGATAGATGGACTCAAAGCACATGCTGAACAACATGTGCGTTTCAATGACTAATCAACAACTTTCTAATGTTCTTATTTATCTTCCAATGTTTGTTTGTTTTAAAGCTGACTTGGAATTTTTTTGTTTCCTTTAATAGGTGACCAATAGGATGATGCTTAATGCTTCACATATATTCCCTCATAACACACCGATTACAAAGGAAGCATACTATTATAGGATGATTTTCGAGCGCTTTTTCCCACAGGTAATTTGTTCATGTATTGTGAGGATTCATGATAAATTAGCTAACTTATGCTGGTTTTCAACCTTGCAACCTTCCGATAAGTCACATTGTTGGAGTTTGTTGTTCAAATGCGAGATTTACTTTTAACCATGTTCCTCTGGTATTTTTGGTTCTGCAGAATTCAGCTGGGCTAACCGTTCCTGGAGGAGCGAGTGTGGCGTGTAGCACAGCTAAAGCTGTAGAGTGGGATGCTTCTTGGTCAAAGAACCTTGATCCTTCAGGAAGGGCTGCTATTGGTGTACATAACTCAGCTTATGAGAATCATGAACCTGCTATGGCTAATGGGAATTTGGCCACAAAAATCATTGGCCGTGCGCCGTCTATGGTAGAAGTTGGTGCTGCTCATGAGCTCACAATAAGGAGTTAGCAGCAGTCTGTTATCCATGACTTCTTGCTCATATTTAATATTATTATTATTATTACAATTATTATAAGTTTTAGTCTATTGTCATTGTTAAGGGAAGAGGCAGCATGTCTTTTAGCTGTTCTGCTGCATTAAAAAGCATCAGGTCATGTTTGTTTATATATAGAATAAAGACCAGATTGGGGTGGTTTTAAGCTGAGCAGTATTAATACTATTGTTCTATTAGCAGGTCTTAGGAGTTTTTCAGTTGCCCCCGTTATTGTAATTTTAGTCATTTCCATTTCTCTAGGCCTTTTTCTCCCTCTGCCCCGTTACATAAGGTGCAGTAGAAAATCAGAAAATCAACCTGGACTATGTACCTAGCTGATCGCCATTTTCAATTTGGTTCATTTAATTTGAGTTATATATTTCATCTCCATTGTTAAGGATAAAGTCCTGCCCATTACAAAGGCAACTCTTCTAAGAGGGCACTTCAACAAAGGAAGGATCCTAATATTGGGTCGTACATGAATTTCCAAGAACCAGCATTTCTTTTGAGACAGATAATTAGGGTTAGGGATAGATGACTTAAGTCCAGTAATTAGAAGGAACTATAAGTAAATGAATAAAAGAAAAGCAAACATAGAAACCTGTGGGTGGGTTTGAACATTGAAGTGATCACACCAGCCGAAAATGTAACTAGCTGAAATGTTTTCAGTCAGAAATGCAACGCTTAGTTAGGAAGGTAATCTCATATAGTCAAAAAAATATCCATAGTAAATTAAAACATCACAAACTCAAACCCATATCAAACTAATGTAAATACAAACTCTTGTATGATAACTCAAACATTTCAAAATTTATATAAAGTGGTTCCACAATATATAATATGAAAAAGTACATATTTGCTTGGTTATTCATACTGCTGCCATCAATCCTTTTACATCCATAAGTGAAGTAGGTTCACCATTTACATCACTAAGCTGAAATGACAAAATTTAAAATATTCGATGAGGAACTTGTACATGATTCGACAAATAAACATACACTAGTGATGTGCATACATTAATTATCCGCACTTGAATAGACAGAACTTAAAGCAATTTGCAAAGATGGAAGTTCAGAGATAAATGGTAATTGCTGTTCAACCAAAATAAACTTAAAGTAATACATTAATAACAGTTGTTATATTTTTATACTTTTTTTTTAAAACCCGAAAGACAAGTGTACTTTCATACCTTATGCCACAACTACGAATTATTCTCTTCTTTAATCACTCTAATTTATCCGGTATCACATGAAAGACAAAGTGATTGTTTACCTGAAAAACGGATAGAATTAAATTTGTACGTAGTTCTAAGGGTACGTGGTATAACTTGGCACAAATCGTAAAAGTAAGTCGAAATATATCGAATATTGATTTATAAAGAATGAAATACAAACCAAGTTGAATAGAGAATGATTTATAAACAAGTAAGATGAATTAATGTATGAAGCTCACAAGAGGATAATCTCTGTTGTATTTCACTGTGAATATCAATAGTATCTGAGTTTGAGAGTGTATGAATGCCTTAATAGTTGGATCCCTTACAGAAATAATAGTCATCCCTCTTATAGTGGAGGGATTCTACCTTGGATATAATTAAAAATACATAGTGGGGAACCCATGATAGATTAGTTTTTTCCTAAGTCCCGCCGAGATTCTCTCCCTTGGTGCGTTTGTAACGGCTCTTGTCTCTTGGCTCGATCTTGATCGGACTTGGTATCGGTCGATCTCCAGATTTAGAGCTCGATATTGATTCGGGGCCCGGTATTGATTTGGGCTCGGTATTGGTCGGTCTCTGGCTCTTAAGCTCGATAAAGCCGCTTCGCATCATAATTCGATTTGGACTTGAGCTCAGTAATGACTTCGAGCTCGGTATTTGATCGGTTCCAAAAATTTGAGCTCGGTAACTTGGCTTCAGATCTCATCTCGATATTATGAAGATGACCTTCGGTCCATTATATTCCAATCATGACTAATCATACGAAGGTCAAAATCAGTTTTTACCGTATATAAATAGTTCCCTCGTTTCTCGGGAAGAATGTGGCGAAAAACGATATGATTTTCCAACAGTATGACTAGATATAGACTGACGTTTGCATCGATCCCGACCATGACGTACGTGATAGATGTCCCATCGGTTCAGTTACCAAGGCATTAAATGCGTGTCAGGCGATGGTCGGCCATTGCTGATATTGAACTGTCATTGCCAACCCTATAAATAGCTCATCTTTTTACCATTTATTACTTTTACATCTCCAATTTCCAAATCTTCTAAGTTCTTTATCGCATCTTCTGAGTTCTTCATCTGTAAATCTGTTATTTTCTATGCAAAATCCCTCTTTAGAACACCAAATCTTGTCATCTTCCTCTATTTTCAATCTTCAAATCCAAATGGCGAAAACGTCGAAAACCGTTCCCCAAAAAGAAAAAGCTTCTTCTTCGCATCCCGTCGGCGATAAAACACCGGTGGAGCCACAGCCTGAGGAGTGTGTTCTTACCTCTGATTTTAAGATCGACAAAGCCTCACCGGTTCCTGGTCGATGCGATCAAGTATCGAGGTATATGTGCTCGATAATCGAGGTATATCTTAAACAGATAAGGAAAGATTGCAATTGGGAGAACAAAGAAGTGATAATCCCGGCTCCCGAAGAAGATATTA